AGGAAGACCCAGAATGGATTGAGATATTAAATCAGTAAATTCTGCCTGCATAATCTTTAATTGCAGAATAAACTCCTACAAAAGAAAAAAAGAACATACCCAGGTAAATTCCGCTCCACCAAGCCTCTAACACATATATCCCTGATTATATGGTTAGACAGACAATTGGTAAGTGATACCAGCAACAACAAAAAAATTAAATACGCATCAAGCAATAAGGTAATAAAAGAAGAGTGCAGTTTAAGTAAATTCACCTTAGTACAGGATCCAAACCACCTTGAACAATACCAAATAAATTTTGCTCATTTGGCTTCTTGTGAGCTGTTTGGAGAAACCAATGCAGAACAGAAAATCAATCAAAACCATTAATAGTGAGACAGAAAAAAGAAGGGGTGGTTGATGGAGATCATTTGGAAGTTACGATTGGAAGACCAAGCATTCAGGAAAACAGGAAGCTGATCTGTTAGCCTAAGGGCTTTAATAAAATTGTAAAGGGGGAGGATAGGGCTGTTTATGTAAGGCTCAGCCCACTTCCCCTTGTAGAATACTGTTCGCTATGGCTCAGTCCAACCCGACTTCCACGCCTCACGGTCTTGTTCTTGGTAACCCATAGGCCCCAAAACACGTCCTACAATAATAGGTATGAACTGCCTTAATATACCCTGACTCTGGATACTTTTCTCTCGACGTGGGAAGTTACAATTTAAATCTCATTTTCACTTTTACCAATCAAAGGACCTGGCACTATAATCTAATAAATTCAAGATTGTTAAAGTAACCCTTTAAAAAGAGCATCTTTGACTAGTTAAACTAACCTGGAACTTAAAATAAGGTTGACTCTATTCCAACAAAACAACCATAGGTTGGTCATACTTGTATTGCAGAGAATGTTTGGTTTAAGCTTGAGTTAATGAGATGCCAAATTAGACATATGGTTCATTTTAGTTAGCATCCAAATTTCTTTAGTGGCATTTAGCATTAAATGAAATTACCTGCTATACATCTGTCTATCCATCGAAGAGTGCGATACATTGCCTCCTCAATTCGTGGACCAGTAATGGTGGTTTTTACTACATCGTCAAGAGCCATAATAATATCTGCTCCAATTCTGTTCTGCAAAAAAAAAAAAAAACCCGATAAGAAAAGTAAAAGAAGCATAAGATGGAGTATTGAAAAACTTAGAAATGGATTGAATGGTATTAAACAACTAGGAACATGAGGAAAAAATAAAAAGAAGAGTTCTTACTTGGATTTGAATCGATTCCTCAGGTGTTAGAAGCATAGGTTTTCCATCAACTGGTGACTGAACTAAGAAAATGAAGCTTTGGTTAAACAACACCAAAACAGAAGTGTACTCCAGTTATTGTGTAGAATAAAAGCAACAATAAGAAAAAATGGAAGATTATAAAAGAAAACATAACTGCTTATCAAATTGATTATGCATGCACGTTTATAATTTGAACATGAGTGGGTAAAACAAGATGGGACAGACATGAGAACAGGGAGGAGTATTTGATGCAGAAGATCAACTATCAATGTGTCCCAAGAGTGTGCTTCAAATTTTAGAAATTATCATACCAAACATTTGACCACATAATCTAAAAATTCTTATATATAATGGCGCAGTCACATTTGTAGGTTTAAACTATAAATTTAATCAATCAAGCATATTATCTGCAGAGAGGGAAAGTCATTGAGTTCGATCCTTAAACACAAGCAGTGGTGAGTGAATATCATTTCCAGTATTTCATCAAGCAAATCATCATAGTTAAAAACAGACCAGATTAACCAAATCTCACTTTTTTATCAAAGAACAAGCACAAACCTGAAACGTAACACCCTTTTCAGTGATATCTGCTAAATGCAATAAGGATACCTGAAAATTCGTACATGGTAGTTAACCCATAAAACTGTTGCACCGAACCAACTGAGAAAGAAGCGAGCACCAAAAAGCTACAACTCAATAACATGAAACAGATACACTTTGATTCAAACTCTGTGGTAAATATTTTCAGATGCAAGAATCCTAAGCTCATGTATGGTCTCCGGTATGGCAGATACCACAACAAAAAAATCATAGTGTCCACTCAACATGATCTTATAATCAATAAACAAACCATCTGGAAGCCACCGGAGTCTGTAAGCATAGCTCTAGGCCAGTTCATAAATTTAGGAAGACCCCCTAATTCATCAATAAGCTCGGACGTAGGACGAAGCGCCAAATGATATGTATTTCCCAGAATTATTTGACAGCCAATTTCTTCAAGCTGGTTAGTGGTCAAACCTTTAATTGTCCCTGCAACCAGGTAGATCACCAGTGTGTTCTAAATGCCATGGAATTTAAAACACAATCAGAACATTAAGGATAGATAAAGGAAGTCTAACCTTGTGTGCCCACAGGCATAAACAGAGGAGTCTGGCATACAAAGTGAGGAAGCGTCAGACGAGCAGCGCGAGCACGATTAAACCTCCCAAGCACCTAAAAGAGAGAGAGAGAGAGAGAGACAATAGTACAAAATAAATATCAAATCTAGCATTTAAATCCACCCTGCGAGTAAAATAATAAACATTTTATTCTAACTTGATATCCAAAAAAGGAAAGAAAAAAAGGCACGTGAAATATGCAGAGAAAAAAACAAAGATCTTTCCAGGTTAAACATTCTCTCGTTAAAACCGGTTTTCATTGTTGATCAATTTTTAAGTCAAGTAAAAAAGCATGATGTATCCTTCGATATAAAAAAAACACTAGATAAGTACTGGGGAGACTTATTCCTTCAAGCTTGGGAGAGCACTAGTTCATTCACATTGTGATGGCGTGTGATGAACAAGAAGAAATTAAAGGAAAAGGCGGCACATGAAAATTAGAGTCAAACCTCGAAACGAAGCGCCATTGAAAGATTGTTCGTCTGCAGGTTTCACAGGAAGAGAGTGCGAAAACAATGATTGAAAGAAGCAGCGGCAGCTTGATGGAGGAGGGGAGGAAGTGAAAGTGCGGTATAGGAATGTTGAGCGCCAAAGAGCAAAACCCACCTCTGCCTCGGCGGCTGTGCCCGTAAGCTGTCTTTCTTTTGTTATGTTTCTGTTATGTTTCGTTTCCGATACAGGTCTTTTTTTATTTTTGAAAAAAAAATGTTTATTTTTTATATATTTTTAATTATTTCAATGCGTTAAAACCCAAAAAAAAATTAAAAACAAAATAATATTATTATAATATAATTTTAAATAAAAAATAATTTAAGAAAACAATTTTAAACACGTTTCTGAACAGCCACAGAATATGAGATAGTGGCTCAAAAACATTTTAGGTGAAGAAAATGTTGTGACCTAGAAAAGGATGGACCCAGGTTTAGCCCGTCGAATTCGGATGTCTTGCAGGCTGGGGTCTTGGAAATGTTTTTGAATTAGGCCCAACCTATTGCTAAAAAGCCATGCTAGGAGAACCCGATATCTTCCCCTCGGATGGCTTTCTCGTTCTGTATTTTGATCGCGGGATCATTCAAATTTGAGAAAGACATTCCCCTCTAATGCTTCCTTCAGTGTGGACTAGTTTTTGGACCGTGATAAATAACAAGTTAGATTTTTTTAAGATTATAAAATTTATAAAAAAATAGGAAGTAAAAAAATTCAATGCATGTTCTCCCAAATATTTTTAAAATACTTAATCAGTGATACATTGAATAAAATATTTTTCTAAAAAATTATTGAGATATCAATATAAATTAATCTAAAAAATAATAAAATTCATATTAAAATTAATTAATAAGATCAATTATAATAAATCATATATTTAAAATTAGAAGCTTATAAAAAAAAAAATTGACTTTGAAAAACCTACATCTGCGGTCAGCACAACAGCACAGGCTTGGGAAAACTTTTTTAAATGCAAGAAGAAAAGTGTTGAGGTAACACTATGATAATATTCTAAAATAACATGAAATAAAGTAAAAAATAAGTTAAATTAGTTCAATAACAAGTGTAAAGCAACCCTAGTTTAATAGCATGAGAAATAAAAAAACTCCGTGTGAGTTTATAAAATTTAAGTTAGTATTTTAAAATTACAATATATAAAATCTCATGTTTAAGTTTACTTGAAAGAGTTAATTTTCAATCAATTTAATATTAAAAAATAAAATTATATAAAAAAATCAAAACTCATGAAATTTCATGTTTAGACTTAATAAAAAGGTCAATCTCATATTAATTTAATGTTAAAAAATAAAATTTAAAAAATTTATCAAGGTATAAAATTAACAATTAAAAAAATGAGAATTGAACTTCAAAAATAAAAAATAAAAAAGATAAAATAAAAAAATTAATTTTATAAATTACCTAGAAAAAAAAGAGAAATAAAAAAAAATTAAAGAATAGTGAAATATGAAATATTTTTCAAACTATAATATTTTTTTAAAATTTAAAAATTACATTAAGAGAAGAGAAATAAATTCAAAGGAGAAAGATATTGAAGGATGACGTGATTTTTTTCAGGAACAATACAAAATCAAGGTGAACGAAAGGAAAAAAAAAACAAATAAATATATATCAAACCATACAGAACCACTATACAGGCTTCATCTATTACATGTCACCTATCTAAAAACACAAATGAATACATATCAAACCAGAATCAGCATACAGGCTTCACCTATTACATGTCACCTATCTAAAAAACAAATAAAACCATACAAAATCACCATACAGGCTTCACCTATTACATGTCACTTATCTACTTATTAAATAATTCGTGTTAATAGAATAAATGTGAGGTGAAGTGCTACCGGACTGGTTTTAAATTTAAAAAACTAATGTAGAATTAAGTTAAAATTTGAAAGAATGTTATAAATTATTTTTTTATTTAAAAATATATTAAAATAATATATTTATATTATTTTTTTAAAAAAATTATTTTTTAACAGTAGCATATCAAATAATCTAAAAATATAAAAAATATTTTAAAAAATATATTTGATGCCAAATATCACCTCAGTCCAGGTAAAATAGGATTGGGTCTCACGTTCAGAAAATAATGAAACGGGTCAGGGCCGTCAGGCACGTCTGTCTGTTATTAGCAGAAGACATTCACGATGGACGGATGGATACAGGCAGCCACAGCTAGCCATGCTAACTTGTCAATTTTCAACTTGAACCTCTCCAATTCTTATTGTTCCTAGATCTCCTACGCGGTTATAATCCTAATTACGATCTCAGGTACCGCAGTCTCTCTTTCGTTCTTCTTCTTCTCTCCAGGTTTCGTTATTAGATCCACATATTTATGCATTCACTCATTGCCTCTCTAGACTTCCAAACTCTTTCTCAAGTCTCAACATATCAGACTTTGATTTATCTTGCCGTTTAATAAAGTTTATGTACACGGACTCTTGTTGATCTAAATTTAATCCAATTTGTTTGCTCGTCGTTTTACTGCAATTAATCAACGTAGCTTTCTTGAACTAAGAAATGCGCATGTCAAATTTGTTCGTTTGCCTGTATGCATACAGCTCATGTTGGCTTTGATGGCTGACGAGTGTGATTTATGAGGCACTTGTTGTATTCTAGACGCAAATCTGTTTGTTATGCTCGATTGTCTTATTTGCAGGGGTCAGATCGAGTGATTTGGCAGTATGCAGCGTGCTCCGGTGACAATCGAGGAGCAGCTGATTTTGAAATCGATAAAGGAGGAATGCCCATGGGAGAATCTCCCAAAAAGGCTTCAAGCCACTCTTAATTCTAAAGAGGAATGGCATAGAAGGTTAGACTTAGTTGCTTCTTATTTGCTATGGAGGTTTAGGTTTTGAGGACTGAATAGTTGCCTTTGTGGTTGGAAGTTGGAACTGATATTGGCGCTCTTAAATTGTGGACTTCTGGTTTTTTACTTTCACTCCTCTTCTCTTGTCCCCTTCGATTTGCTTTTCTTCTTCTTTCCTTTCTTCACAATCTAATTTGTTTGAGTACTACATTCAGGGTTATCGAACATTGTATTAAGAAAAGACTCCAATGGAATACATGTTTTGCTCGCAAAGTATGCAAAGAAGGTGAATATTATGAAGACATGATGCGCTACTTGAGAAAGAATCTGGCGGTGCGTGCTGTATAGAAATTTTTAAACTATCTTCACCACATGAATATGGGTCGCACCTTTTAGAATAGTTTTTGTGCTTCTGGAATCCTACTTGTGTAATGTTGCTGTAAACTGAATTTCATGTTTTGGTTTCCAATATAACCACCTTTCTTTTCACCTTGTAGTGTAAGTATCATTTCTTTTATGTTTCTCTGTATATTACTAATTGACTTCATTGCTTGCAGCTATTTCCCTATCACCTTGCAGAATATGTTTGCCGTGTAATGCGGTTATCACCTTTCAGATATTACTGTGATATGATATTTGAGGTCATGAGAAACGGTAAGAAGATATCTCTTCAATCAAAACTGAATATGTTGCTCAATTATGTAGCCATTATATCTTATTGTTGATCAGACTTTGCATATCAATCCCTTTGTTTACAGAGCAACCATATGACAGCATCCCAAATTTTAGTGCTGCAGATGCCTTGCGTCTTACAGGAATAGGAAGAAATGAATTTATTGATATCATGAACAAATGCAGATCTAAGGTACTGGATTGGACTGCTCATATGTTTAGATATTCACATGGATGTATGTTTGGACCTTAGGCTGAGCTCATTGTTATCATCGTTTTCAATGGAACAAACTGCTTTCTTACCCATCATTTACTCATCTGGAGCTATTCAGAAAATTATGTGGAAGCTGAACAAGTCAATTGCTAAAGAACTTCTACCCACACAACCTGTGGACTTTGCAATTGAACCATGGTGGGGAGTGTGTCTTGTCAATTTTACCTTGGAAGAATTTAAGGTGAGATCCTTCTAAATCTGAAAAGTGCTTGCACAAAATCACTCCTTCGCCTTTTTTTTTTGTCTATGATTTCAGCACTATTTGTATTTGCTTTTGAAACTGCATTCGGGCATGTTTCAAAAGTGTGCTTGGCTTGAAAAAGCATCAAATTGATGTTTTTTTAGTGTTTTCCGATAGTTTTGATGTGTTGATATCAAAAATGAAAAAAAAATCTAAAACAAATATCATTTTAATGCATTTTCAAGTGAAAAGTACTTTTGGAAAGTATTTTGCACCACAATATCAAACACACGCTTCATATGAGACAACCAGATGTATTTAGTTGCCTTTAGAAGCCCTGTTTGCATTTGGTTGCTCAATAGTTGAGCCTTGTGTTGCTGATGGCAACAAATCCTTTTCCTGACCTTTTCAGAAACTTTCTGAAGAAGAGACGGCTACAATTGATAAAATTTGCAAGGAGGAGGCTAATGCATTTATCCTCTTTGATCCTGATGTTGTAAAAGGCCTGTACCAACGAGGATTAATTTACTTTGATGTCCCTGTCTACCCTGATGATCGTTTTAAAGGTAAGTTAATTGTTTTTTAATTGTTGCCAAGGCAGGTCAGTAAGCTTAACCATGTTTTCCAGTTTGTTAAAAGGATTAATTTATCCGTCTTACTAGAAAGTCTGTATTTGAGTATGTTTCTGGCTCATGTACTTTTTGTATGAATGTGTCTCTATATCATTTATTATGACTTCTTGCACCTATGCACATTTCTTTATGAAACACTACATCAGTCTGGAATTTCTTTCCATTCTGACATTGTCTGATGAATGCTTGAGAGTTATTATCTGTTATGTGCCCCCTTTGCCCTTTGGGAAAAAAATGAGCTCAATGATTTGAATTTCTATGACTTGACAGGAGAATTAACTATATAAAATCAAAATGCCTATACTTTCCTAGATCACATCTTACTAAATGACGTCCTGAGTTTCTGGTTGTGTTGTTGCTATTTCAGTGGTTATGAATCATTTTCTGTGTGGCTGCGATGTGTTTAACGAGTTGGGAATTTTAGATTCATGTATTAGAAAAATAGGTTTGTAGAATGTGGTAGGAAAATGATAGTTCGGTGATGGATGGCTGATGCTGTGTTATAAAGTAAGTTGCTGAAACTCTGTCAACAAGGACAAAGATGAAGAAAAAGAAGAAAATTTGTAATACCATAGTATATTCCGCTGCATCAATATAGCTCAGGTGTTCCACAAAACAAAACCATAAGTTGCCAAAATCTAAAACATCTTTGTCTCAACTCTATCACAAAGACCCCACAATTCAAATCCTAAGTTGATCTAGTTTAAATTGCCTAGAATATCAGCCAAATTCTTTCTTTCATTTTTTTTTTTCACATTGCAACATATTAATTCCAGCAGTATTCTATATTGATCCCTCAAGCTTTGTGGTAAAATATGCATGATAATGGTATATATCCATACTTGACCATGCCTTTCTGTTTGGTTTGGAGCCTGAAACTAATTTTGGAAATTGTTTCAGACTTCCTTTTTTTTTTGTAATTTTTAAACATTTTTTATATCTGATGGTTTAATAATAAGATATGTTGATTTTGAATTCAGAAAGTCTTTTATAAGATTACTCATCCTGTTTGATTTCTGGAGTCAGTTGATACTTTTTTTGATGGTTCAGTTTCCAGGCTTGAAGGGTTTGTTTCCAACAGGGAGCAGTCCTACGAAGATCCTACTGAAGAGTAAGGCAGTTAGATGTTTTTCAGTTTTTGCAATTTACTAGTGGCAAACTAAGATCTTAATGCTTATAATTAAATTATCCAGGTTACTGTATGCAGTCTTTGTTGTTTCAAGTGAGAATGCTACTGTTGCTGAACTGGCATCGACATTGCAGGCTGACCTGTCTCAGCTGCAGGCAGCTGCATCATTTGCTTGTAGATTAGGATGGGCAGAGAAATTGATTGATCCAGGATCCATTCTTCAAGAAACAAGCATACCCGGGACTCCTAAAATCACTCTTGGTGATGAGGAAGATGCTTTTGATGCTAGTATACGCTCAGCAAGCATGTTCAATGACAGTGATTCTAGTCAGCATGGAGATCTTACAGTGACAGAACACTCTGGACCACGTTCCAACCACACTCAAGTTGCTTTTATTGTTGATGCTAATATAACATCTTATCTCATGATGGGGTCTGTTTCACCAGGTTTTTTTCTTCACCTTTGTCCATATTCTTGTCCCTTTTCTTTTTGTGTTTAAGATAAGTGAGAATAAGATTATGGACCAACCATGTAGTCAGGATTCATAAATACTGTTATTAATGTTTCACGGGAGCTGAAATGCGGAGCCTCTAAAGCTATGAACTTTGCAATTGAATGATCGGAAGCATAGCCATTCCTTTTTGTGTGAGACATTGGCTTGACCATTTATTGAGAGAGTGATTGAATCAGATGTCATGGGAGGGGGCACTAATTTTAAATTTAGCAAAATACAAAAATTCTGACAAACCTCCTCCATTGCCATCATCAATTTCTTCTCGGATCTTTGGAGGAGTGACCCTATATATTTCAACATATTTTTCTTTCATCATTCTTCCTTAAGTAATCACCCTGATTTGTCTTTCATTGCTGGATTTCATAAATCCAGGAAAATATATTGGAAACTGTTTGGTTTATAAATATAAGCATTCACATTGAAAATTATCACCCTAACAATTTTTCTGTTGGATTTAGATATTATTTAACATCTTGCAATGGATGATTCCCGGTGTTGTCTATTAAGGTCTTTATTGGATTGTTGAATTGGCATTTAGATGCTTCTCCTTGTATGGCTAGATTTGTTATTTTCCATCTGAGATTTTAATGCCATGATGTAAAGAATATTGCATAAAGACAGTGATCACTGACATGTAATTTTTTATTGTAGTTTCCTTTGAGATGTGTTTGATAGTTGGGTTTTAACTTGAAATGTCTTAGCCACTGTAGAACATGTTTGAGAAAGCACAACATGACTTGATGCTGGCAGAGTCTAAAGAACCTTTGGACTGAGAGATTAGCTTGACGAGCATATTATTCTTTGTAATCCATATACTAGGATTTTGCTAGTCAGGACACTGCATTCTCTGTCTTTTCCATAATACCGTGGAGATAATTGATCCATCATGCAGCCCAATTATTCTATTGGCTAGTCACATGTCAGAAAATTTTGTAGCCAAATGGTACTAATGGAGACATGAACATGAGGCGTATCATGGTTATTTTATTCCCCAAGCAGAAATATAGCTAGTTTATCACACGTGAAAGAGCTTGATGTGAATTTCATCTGTTTCATCTTTCCAACATTGCTATATTCCTTTTTTTTTAGTTTCAATTCATGAAGATTTCTTCTTATGTTTTGCAGGCTTAAAATCCCATGCTGTAACCTTATATGAAGCAGGGAAGTTGGGTCATGCTAGCATGGCAGATCTCTGCAAGGATCTGAGTACCTTAGAAGGAGCAAAGTTCGAGGGTGAATTGCAGGAATTTGCAAATCATGCCTTTAGCCTCCGTTGTGTCCTGGAATGCCTTCTATCAGGTGGGGTTGCTGCTGATGTAAAAGTGGAGGAAGCTTGCAATAAGATGGGCACAGCAGCTTCAAGCATTGATGAGGCTACGTCTTTGATAGCCGACATCGCGGTGTCTGAAAATTCAGAAAATATTGGGGCTGATGAAGTGAAAATAGACAATGATGATTCCATGAATTCTATTATGCCTGAAGCTGGTTCTGTTTTGGCTAACCTTATTTCTGGAAGTACTGATGATGGCACTTCTGTTATTTTATCTGAAGACATAAATTCATCAACTGAGGCCTCCAAATCAGATCAAGATGTCCAGAATGATGATAAACTTATTCCATTTGGAGGGTCTGATGGTGGAGAAGGAACTTCAAAGAGGAGAAGGGATTATCGTGTGGATATTCTCCGCTGTGAAAGTTTGGCTGCTCTAGCACCATCAACTTTAGATTCATTATTTCTCCGTGATTATGATATTCTTGTGTCTATAGTTCCCCTCCCTCATTCAGCAGTTCTTCCTGGACCAAAAGGTCCGATCCACTTTGGTCCTCCTTCGCATTCATCCTTGACTCCATGGATGAAGTTGGTGCTTTATTCGACTGTGGGTAGGGGGCCTTTGTCAGTTGTTTTGATGAAAGGGCAGTCTTTACGTTTGCTTCCTGCACCATTGGCTGGCTGTGAGAAAGCCCTTATATGGTCTTGGGATGGTTCAACAATTGGAGGGTTGGGAGGCAAGTTCGAGGGAAATTTGGTCAAGGGAAGTATACTTTTACATTGTCTAAATTCACTTCTTAAATACTCAGCTGTCCTGGTGCAGCCTCTCAGTAAGTATGACCTTGATGAATCAGGAAGGATCATTACTGTGGATGTACCATTGCCCCTCAACAACTCAGATGGTTCCATTGTTTGTGTGGGGAATGAACTGGGTCTCTGTGAAGAGGAAAGTTTGAAACTGAACACTTTGTTAACCAATCTAACACACACGATGGAATTACCAACTATTGGTTACATTCGCCTGCTAAAGCTTTTCAGTGAAAGAGAATCAGACCACTTTGCACCTAGTGATAAAAAATATGAATGGGTTCCACTAAGTGTGGAATTTGGAATCCCCCTTTTTAGTCCAAAATTAAGCAACAATATATGTAAAAGGGTTGTTGCATCAGAATTGCTTCAATCAGATACACTTACTGAACACTATGAGGCCATGCAAGGCTTACGAAAAAGGTTGCGTGATGTCTGTGCAGAGTACCAGGCAACAGGTCCTGCTGCAAAACTTCTGTACCAGAAAGAGCAATCAAAGGAGTCACCTCGGCAACTCATGAACTACGCCAGTGGAAGATGGAATCCCCTAGTGGATCCATCTTCTCCCATTTCGGGAGCCTTGAGTGAGCATCAGAGACTAAAACTTGCCAATCGACAACGATGCCGAACTGAAGTCTTAAGTTTTGATGGTAGCATTTTAAGGTCTGTTGGATCTCTCTTATTGTTTGTCTGTGTTAGTTTGCTTCCTCTAATATGCCATATGAATTGCTCTCTGTATTAGTATTTGCTGATATAGTTGTCTGATATAAACTCTTAATTTTTTATTGATGTCATTTTAAAAAAAAAAACTAGCACGTGATTATGTCTATATATGCATAAAATTGGTGGCAAGGGGGATTACCTATGATAAAAGAGGTCATAATATAGAAACTTGCTGTCTGTATTTCTCTAGTTTGCTCATCTTGATGAATGATTTGCAAATGTACTTTGCCGTAACCTTGTGCAATTTAAGAACCTAAAGATTATAATTGTCCAATAATGTTGCAGATCATATGCTCTAACTCCAGTATATGAGGCTGCCACAAGGCCCATTGAAGAAACCCCAATGGTGAAATCTACAAAAGCTGATCCTGATGAAGCTGATAGTAGAGAAGTAATTCTTCCTGGTGTGAATCTAATTTTTGATGGTTCTGAATTGCATCCCTTCGACATAGGTGCTTGCCTGCAGGCTCGTCAACCGGTTTCCTTAATAGCTGAAGCTGCAGCAGCCTCAGCTTCTACTTCAATTAAATAGGTATTCATTTTGCTTGATAGGGGTAGACACAAGTATCTGTCAATCTTTCAACAAATGGCAGTTGACTAACATTACACCAGCTTTATTCTGATGCCTGGTTCACCTGTTTCACCTTTTAGGTTGCTTGTTGTGCGTGAGGTAAATGCGAAGTTTTCCTTTTGCAATAGTAATTGGTTAGATTTCAACAATGTTAGTTATTCCCTGGGAAGTTTTTTATGTTCTTTTTATGAGTAAGAACGTGTGAAAAGAAAAACTCAGGGGCAGGCTAAAATTTCACTTTTCCTGATGCAATTTAGGTCAGAGATCACAAACTTGAGATGTTTTATTATTTCAGTTTTTTTTTTTTTTTGCTTATTTTACCATGGACAAAGGATACTGAATATAGGCATTCACTATATATATTTGAAAATAATGTTACAAGAGATTTGAAGTTCCTGTGTGCATATGTCTATCTCTCTCTCTCTCTCTCTCTCTTTATGTGCTGGTTTTATTTAAACTTGTAAATGAAATCTTATGGGTGAGAAACCTGTTTGTTTCATCTTGCATTTTTTTCTTGGACTTGACTGCATTTAGTGCAATTTGAGATGGGCGGTTGTTTGACTAATTTTTTAAAGCTAATATAATAAAAATCCCATATAGCAGAAAAGCGACCAGTGTTTGGGACATTGGCTATGATACCTTAAATAGCAAAATTGTTTTAATGAAATAGGCAACTAGAAAAACAATTGCTGGCGGCGAAAGATTTATACTGCTTAAACCTTAAAAATTATGTTTAAATTAGGTCAAGACATCTGATGTGGCCTCACCTAGTTGGTTTTTTTTACAATCTTAAGAGAGGCTTTATATTTTTAGGCCCTTTTACTGAAATATTAAATGTGGATTGTTTTCATCTCTAAGCCATGCCACTGATACTTATTTTGTTTTTCATATCTTCCCAGCTTCCATCTCTGACTAAGGAACGCGGAGACTTTTTTATTTTTCAGCTCCTTCAATCTCTGTCTTTTGGTCTCATTATTTTTAAGCTTTCACTAGATGTTCATCCTATTCAGTAAACCCCCACTCCCCAACTAAAGATCCATTCATTCCTTACAAAATTTCCTGGTGTAAATGCAGGTCGTATTAGTTTAAGGCTGAACTGGTTACACCCAGTTAATCCGTACGGTAAAAAGAGAAGAATGATGGTTTTTAGAGCAGATGTGTCTCGATTTGATGCCTGATGTTTATTCCCCACCAAGAAACAAGCTTATTTTTTCACATGATATTGGGGGAAAATTCAGCACATTGATGTTTCCTGAATGTCAAAAACACAAAACCTTCTCCCATAAACTGCATATAATTTTGATTCCATTTTTTTTGTTACTGCGTATAAGGTTTCTTAAACATGTAAAGGGGACGGCATGCATCAGAGTCCGATGTTTTTTTTCGCCGAAACTGTGGTGAGGAATTATCATGTTATACAGCACATGTACTTCCCTGAACGCAATATTGTAATTACGTAACTTTTCATATGATAAGCCAGACTAAAGCTGATACCACTTGCATCAACTCTTGTGTGAGAAAAAAATGCTGCCATTATTTTTCAAAATTCTAAAGTTGGCGCCTGTTTGGTTATTTTGAGGAGTGTGCAGTGGTAAAAGGGAAGGATATTTGTTTAGCATTCCAGGAGGATTTCAACTGAAAGTATGCATGTGCCAGTCTGCTTTTGACACGAACACCCTGGTTAGTGCTGCCCGACTGGTGCTTTTACGATACTGATCTCCCTCTCTCCCCCTCTGTTTCTTTTGGTACAGAAAGGGGCTCAAGGGCCCAATAGAACAAAGATAAAAAAATACCAAACCCGATCACATTCTAACAGAGGCTGAGCCACGATAGTCCTCACAAAGCAAATCCATTAACTATGGAGGAGAACAGGAGATAGCTCCTAACTCTCCACTACCTTCGATACTTGCTAATCAATCAGCACGTATATTTCCCTCTCCGCAAGCGTGTCTTGCTATCACATTCCAATTTCTATCCATCTGTTATTTTATTTGAGTCCAGAATGTAAAGTTAGGATAACATGTAGATTGATCTTGAAGGATTGTCTGCTGAACAACTTTCGAAACAAATTTTCGATAACCTCCCATCCAAGCTAGGTTATGGCAGGCCTTAACTGTCCGCGGTTCTGTTGATACAGGGTTACAAAAACCCAATTTGATAAGTTAAGTTGAAAAGTTTAAATTAATTTAATATTTTATCATTTTAATATTAAAAAAATATTATTTTATATTTTTTATTAATGATTAGGGCTATCTTTAAACTCATCAACTTAGTCAAGTCAGAGCAACTCTTATAGAGCTAATTTTAAATTAGAACTTAATAAAAAATTAAATTAGGAGAATTTAAAATTCAACCTACTACATCAGCTTTAATAACAATACTTCATTAGAGCCTAAATATTTTCTTTTTCATATTTAATTTTTTTTATCCAACTAATAACAGAAGTTAGAAAACAAGTTTAGTCTATGTTCGATTAAATTTAGAAAAAAAAATAAAATATTATTAAAAAACAAGAAAATAAAGTTGCCAATTTCTTTTTTTTTATTACTGGAATTTTTATTTTATTTTTAAATTTTGTTAACACTAGCAAACAAAAAATATTGACATTGGCAAAATCTTCTATTATATTTTAAAAATCCAAGAAACAAATAAAAAATGGATTTTTTTTTTATCACAAACTTATTACCAAATACTATAATAAGAATTGATTTGATTATAGATGAAGGGACCACCACTACCTGATGAACGAAATCATAAAAATCCAATCATCCAAATTATAATCACAGAGTATTTTTTACAAAAAACAATGTTACCATAAAAATCTCTGGTGTTCTTAGATCTCATTCTCTTACTATGGAATGGGTCCCGCGTGTTCCTGCCCAGACATGGAGCTGCCCTTATTAATGTTATAGTTTAGCAGCAGACTGGATAGGGGCGGATGTTTAAATCTAGGCTGGGCTGACTGGACTGGCCTATGTTTTACTCCTACATGGACTGACTTTATCGGGCCTGTCATCTGGGCTCTTTGCTTTTAAGGCGTAGCGCCACCTTTGTGTATTCAATCTCAATATCCCTTTAAAAATTAAAAAGTAAATGGATAACATTTTATAGATTGAAAACTAGTTTATTTTCCCGTGGATGAACTATATTTTTAAAAATATAAAATAAAATCATGAATAGCACGGAGATTTTATTTGCAATGTTATAAATTCAGGTAAAAAGATAAATCTTTAAATTTCTTATCTTGTATAAATTTTTAATAAAATATATAAAAGCTAATTCAATATGTTGGTTTGTTCAAAAGGTTTTTTAAAAAAACTGGATGATGATTTTTTATTTTAAAAAATTAATTTTAAATGATAAAATAAAAAAATTAAAAAAAAAATATAAAAAGAGATCAAGCCACGTAAACTTTTTAAATCAAAAATTTAAGATGTTATATAAAAAATATCATATATGGAAGAAAGATGAAACTCAATTCCCATTTAAATATTGACATTTACTTTTTTTTTTCTTTTTTACTGTGAAGATCAACTTTCCGCTTTAGTTTAGTTAAAAAAGTTAAACTTGATGGTAAAAGTTTTTTTTTTTTTATCTTTATAAAAAAAATTAACAAATATATCATTATAATAAAAAAAAATATTACAAAACAAGGTTGAGGAATTTTAGGTCTTTTTATAAAGATATTTCTTTGTAATTATCCGGGTAATCAAGAATATTACAGCCTTTTATGTTTATTAGATATTATTTAAATTTAAAAATTTATTGGTATATGAGAAGTATCCACACATTTTAAATGATGGGTACAACACCTTTCAACGATGGAAAATATTATTCTATTTTTAATATTCATATTATATATTTATCATGCTATTTTGAATTGAATTAACTTGAATAAAGTTTATTTATTTATTTATTTATTATTCAATTATATGCTTTCAATATTTTTTTAAAGATTTTTATTGTACTTTAATTTTTATTTTTTTATAATGTAATTAAAAAAAACAAATTTATTAAATTAGATGGGAGCTATAACTTCAATCCTTTGTTTTATTTGGGAAACGGGTTTTTTTATGCTTAGATATTATTTTTTATGAAAAACAAAAAAACGCAAGCGTGACGGGGTTCATGATACTGGAATCTTCTTCTTTTCTCAGGTTATAAATTAGCCTGCAGTGTAGCTGGTAATCCTACCTGGTATTTGACTAGAAAAAATAAACGGAGTTAATTTCGCCGAACGTCGACGTGCTGTCACAAAAGAGCCTACCAAGAAAGCAAAAAAATAAATAAAAAAGAAGAAGAAGAAAGCAAAAAACTAGACGTGCAAATGGATCCAAAAGTTCCTGTGATTTCTCCACAAGATATTTTATGCAACAAATCTAATAAGCTCTAAGGATCCAATCCATGGACAAAAGCAACGTTTCTTAATGACGCCTTGGAAATGGTGACAACCACGTGTAAAGACATGAAGCGTCTACACTCCAACGATACCAATCACGTGGCAGACATGACTCCTTCCCTTCCTTTCTCTCGAGATATAATGATAATAGAAAGCCGCCTCCCCACCGACAAGAGTGGTGTTAGAAAGGCCCCCCCTTTTCCATTCTCCACTCATATAAATAAATAAATAAAATTCGAATCCTTTGATTCTGTGAGATGAACTGCTGCTCCTGCTGCTAAAGCTAAAAAGAAGAGCTGGCTCGCAGATATGCTTCATCAATCACTTCCGCTCCTCTGTGATTTCAAAATTGCTGATAACACACTTCTCTCTGTCTCGCATTTCTCAAACAACATCAACAACAACAGTATCGGCTCTTCTCGTGTTCTCGATGTGGGGTCAGAAATCTCCCTCTACCGCTAATTTTTAGTGCAAGTAGAGATATATTAACATTTCAATGTGTTCTTTTAGATTGAAATTCAGTAAACAATCATCCGGCGGCGGAAGCAGTGCGCGAGGATTCTCCAGCAAGGCTGGAGCCAAGACCACTACAGCACCTAATGTTTACGGTCGTCGTGCTCAAGAAAGTGTGCTTGAGCAGGTATAATTAACTAATCATCGTTTTTCACATAATATTCTGGATTATCCAGGTTGGTAAGACCAGTGCTTGTTCTTTGTCTCTGTGATTCTAGGAAGAAGCACCTCAAAAGTTGGGGTTTAAAACATTCCCAGGTCAGGCATTTCCATTTGGTGTTTCACAAGTTGAAAATGGGATCAATTTTGCTATATTTTCGCAGCACGCCACTGCTGTTACACTTTGCTTAACACTCCCTCACAGGTAATATTTCCATCCATCCATCCTTCCTTCCTTCCTGATTGCTTAAAAAGTTACAGGCTTGCGAATCCATATTGATTGACTCGTCTGATCTTTGTTTTTTCTCTTAGTTGCGTTCTGACAAACTTCATGCTTTTTTTGGTAGGGGCGAGTCCGAAAGGACGGATGGTGGAATGATTGAGGTGGCATTGGATCCCAAAGTTAACAAAACTGGAGACATTTGGCACATATGCATTGAGGTAGTGATATTGTCATATTTCTCATAACACTATAATTTAATGGTAGTAGTAGCGGTTATTGTCAAGTTGATCCATGTTCTTTTCCATGCCTGCAATTAATTATCACTTCCATAAATCAGTATTATTTCTATAAGCGCAGGATTTACCACGGGACGACGTGCTTTATGGTTATAAGATAGATGGTCCTCGAGATTGGCGTCAAGGACATCGATTTGATAGCAGCATCATGCTTATTGATCCTTATGCTAAGCTAGTTGAAGGTCGCCGATTTTTTGGTGATGCCAGCCGTAAGCTGTCAAAATTTTATGGAACTTATGACTTTGATAGCTTGCCTTTTGATTGGGGTGATGACTACAAGCCTCCAAATATACCAGAGGTACCAAATGTTGCTTGCATTACTGTGATGTATCGTGTTTTTGTTTCCCATGGTATATTTTTGCTACAAAATGAAATTCAGCAACTGCATGCTCTTCTACTCCCTTTTTCTGACTGATATTGAATGAGTGAATTACTAATTCATTTTGCTGTTTCTCTTATGCTGAATAAGTCTGTTACTAAATGATTTTTACTATTTCTTCTATGCGCCTTCCATGCATTTATTGCGACATTCAGTTGATAATTTGACACACCTGTGTTTGAGTTGCATTTGTCTTCTTCTTCTTCTTTGTTTTTATTTCCTCTCCATTTTTTCTTTTTCATATATTTTCTACTGTGTTTGCAGAAAGATCTTGTTATATATGAAATGAATGTCCGTGCGTTTACAGTTGATAAATCCAGTGGCTTGGATCCAAGTATACGTGGAAGTTACCTTGGCGTAATTGAGAAGGTAATGTTGAACTCAATAGGCAATAATCTACGAATAACATTTGGAAGCTCAATTCATTGCCAGAGGCAATAATGCTTCACTTTGAAGTTTAAAGCAACTATAAATTTTCCACGCGAGTTTTTTTTCTTTTTGTTGCATTTGGATGATGTGTAGTAACTGGAAATTTAGAAAATCCTTTCGTATGCGA